CAGGGTGTAGGGTTTAGGGTCTACGATTTAGGATCAAAGGTTCAGGGTTAATAACATCTGTCGCAGCAGTCGTGCGATGCGGCGTCAAACATGTATGCATGCAGCATGCATGCATGCATGCAGAAGGATATTTCACAAGTGTATGTATGATATGGTAGGCCCCAACCCTAAACATGCAATGAGGCAGGCGACGTTCTACTGGTATATCTTGGCCGCCACCTTCGTTGTGGCCACTACCAACGTGAACCTCAACACAGATCCTTGGGTTTAGGGTTTGCATGTGTTGTTCTCGGAACCACGGAAAGTCACACTGTCGGGCACAGCATAGGATTTACCTAAATGTCAATATCCTGAGCTTCAGACCCCGAAACCCTAAACGAGGAACCTTCAAGTAGATCATAAAAAGCCAGCAACAACCCTTGTGGTAGGAACTCTTATTGAAGGAATCTTTACAGGAACCCTTTAATAATTCAAGGAATCCTTTAACGGGTTCCTTCAGTGCCCGTTTAGGCGTTCTTCCCTCAAGGGATCCTGAAAGGGGGTTCCTTAAGGGCTCCTTGAAGGGCTCTTGGTTTAAGGGATCCTTTAAGGGCTTCTTTAAGGGCTCCTTTAAGGACTCTTCCTTTAAACGAACCCTATTGTAACTAGTAACGCCCTTGCCTCACTTACAGTACAAGCAAGAAATATGAAACATGATTCCTGCCCCTAAGGTAAAGTACAGCACTAGTCATCCTTAATCCATGTTCCAACCTTCTGGCTTCTGCCCTAAACCCTAAACCCTAAACCGTACTATGCTGCAAATCCAAGGATCGCCTCCTGGTGTTCACGGCCCTCACAAAAGAGTCGAAGCTTGCGGCTCAGCTGCCCAGAGTAATGCAGGGGCCTAAAGAATTACCATTACTGTTTTGGGGGTTCCTTTCGGGGTTCCGTTTAAAGGGGCCTGGCTACTATAAGGGGTTTTATGGGGGGCTTTAATGTAGGGGCCTAAATTTTACCAACATTATTTTGGGGGTTCCTTATGATATAACTATAGCTATACCCCAAAGCCCTAGTCTAATTAGTAAGGCCCTTAAAGTACCTATAGGGTTCAGAGTTTAGGGTGTAGGGTCCCTAAACCCAGAGACAACAATATCCCTTAATTAAGGAATATTCCTTAAATCATCGTAGGATTTCTACTATGATTTAGGGGATATTCCTAAACTAAGGGATATGGGAGTCTCTAGGGACCTTACAGGGCCAGCCCTGAACTCCAAACCCTGAAAACCCTAAATACTTTCTTGTGGTGTAACGTGGAGTCACGCGAGAAGTTTAGAGGTTTAGGGGTCGAGGTTTCGGGGTTTAAGCCCGGACTTGCTTTTATGTTTCGGTACCCTTGCATGAAGCAGCTCCACTTTTTACGCCTGTGGCCCGCCGTTGAGGAGATGTGGACGAAGAAGAACCGGGACAGATTGCGCAAGACCCTCTTCGAGCATTCTTCGGTTGCAGTACTCCAGGGCCTGGTGTGAGGGTGTGCCTCTGGGTGCTTGTCAAATCAGGGAAGGTGTAGGGTTTCAGATTTAGGTTTTGGGGTTTAAGGTTGTCTCCGTCTCTCTCTCTCTCTCTCTCTCTCTATATATATATAGAAATATATATACATATAAGATATATTATATATATATATATCTCTCTCTCTCTCTCTGTCCCTATCTCTCTCTCTCTGTGTTGCTCTCTCTTTGGGTGCATCCCGGGGTAGGTGTAAGTCTAAGTGCAAGCAGGACTTCAGATGCGTAATTGGATGCATTCCAAGACACGGTCTCCAGAGTTGGCCAGACAGACAGCTACTTGGAGGTTCATTTGTAGCTATAAGTGGGGTTATACGCAGGGTAACTATACTTGTAACCCATATTAGGGGACTTATAACACCACTTATAACTTATAACTACCCAAGAACCTCCAAGTACGGGCAGCAGCTGAAGAGAAACTAGCCGAGTTGCCTTGAGCGGGATTTTTTTAGAAGATAACCTGAGGTAACAAGGCCACGAAGCAACACGCAGAGCTTTGAAACTTTGCAGCTGTAAACCCCCAAGCCCCAAGCCCTGAAACTCTAAACTCTGCAAGCCAAACCTTGAACCCCAAAACAGCAAAATAGTGAAGCAGCTAGGATTCTGGAGTTTAGGGCTCAAGGTTGTTCTAACACCCTGGGCTACCCCCAGCAGCACGTTGCTGACTGTAGCCGCACCGCCAGCACGAGTAGTTTGCTTTTTTGTAGCGGGTGATGATGGTCTCTTCAAGGCATTTCCAACAGCTTCCGCAGGAGCAAAAAATTTCTAAACCCGAAACCCTGAACCCCTAAACCCTAAACCCTATACCCCAAACCCTAAACCCTAAACCTCCAAAAAAAACCCTAATACCCAGGATCCTGGTAGAAAACCACCCGGAGTATGAGAAGGAATCGGAATCGAAGGAGGTTTCGGAGCTCTTCAAGGCGGAGATGTTTGCTTTATTATTGGGTTCATGTGGGTGGTTATCACAATTATGATCCCGTTTTGGGTCCCTTTTGTAGTGCGGCACCTAATATTTAGGCTACCCAAAAAGGAACCCTAATTTTGACAACTACCCATGTGAAGGAACTTAAGTTAGGTTTAGGGTTTAGGAGTTTAGGGTATAGGGTAGCTTGCGACTTAAGTTAAGTTACCATAATAGGGATCGAGAGTAAGAGATAGGATTGGTAGCCTAAACTAAGGTCCTTGACAAGAACCGCAGTTTTGAGCTTGATGGCTCAGATGACAGTGTCAGCAGAGTTCTGTACTTGGAGGTTCATGGGTAGTTATAAGTGGGGGTATAAGTCCCCTAAATATGGGTTATAATTAGAGTTACCCTACTTATAACCCCACTTTTAACACTTTTAACTACCCATGAACCTCCAAGTAGGGATTCATGGGGTCTTATTGGGTTCGGTGGTGGGTCTTGAGGATTTCGCATTGCCTGTTGCGGAGACCTTGAGGTTTGAAGTGCCGCCCGACGGGAGACTGGGTTCCCCAAGGCCCCAAAGTAGTTCCTTTTAGGGTTTAGGGTTTAGGGTTTAGGGTTTAGGGTTTTTTTGGGACTACCTTATAGAAGTCTAAATATGAACCCCAAAAAGGAACTACTTTGGGGCCTTGGGGTAGTTTGATTCAATTCCTAAGACCTCTAAATCTTAAGAGGCCCGCGCATAAACCCGGTTCAGGGACTTTGGTCTTGAGGGTTTGGGTTTGGAAGGCCTTCGATTCTCAAAAAGCTGTGTTGAAGGGTCCACGACACGCTGATTGATAGGCCTTGCCGTCCCGGCCGAACAGGCTGAATGAAATCTACTGCAGTGCAGCTGCCCTGAAAGCTAAATCCTAAACCTCTCAGCCGAAAACCCCCCATCTTGAATTTCTTGGACCCGGAAATCTAGAAGCCGCCAGCTATCCATCCACAAACTCTAGACCATCAAACCCCCAATCCAAAACGCGAAAGCATTATATACCTGGGAGTTTCCAAAAATTCCAGGTGTGCCTTCAGGACCCTACTATTTTCGGGTACGATATTCGGGTCCCCTATTTCCGAAACTCCCACATCCACTTGCATTTTCCACTGGTCGAGGATGTTTGGGACCAGATACAGCTGGACCTGCAGGAAGATGCTGGGTTTAGGGTTTACTTACCCTTGGTTAGTAGGGAATGGAAGAATGGTAGTCATAGTAGTTATAACTGTACCCCATGCCCCCATTCCCTACTCACCAAAGGTAAGTTTAGGGTGGGAGCTTGATTTGCGAGTTCAGCTAGGACCCGAACTCTCAAATTCTAATCCTAAGGCCCCAGTTCCCGACCCGAATTCCCAAACCCTGAGTCCTCAAGCAAGTCTTTGCATGGCCTTTCGGACGCAGCTCACAGCAGATGGAAAAAGGAGTTCACAAAAGAAGAGGAAGACTTCTGAAGGACCCCAAGTTAATCTGCACAAGAAAGACTGGGCTCGGTTGAGGGCTTTGGGTTTGGGGGTTTAGGGTTTGGGGGTTTGGGGTTTAGGGTTTGGGGGTTTAGGCCCCTTGCCCAGGAGCCCGTCGATGTGCAGGCATGGTGGCTGATGCGCCAGTACATGCACATCGATTTCAACGATTCTTGATTGAACAGCGGACTTAGACCCTAAGCCCTAAACCATCTTGTGCTTGGTTGTGTTTGTGCGTTTGCTCGTTGGGTTCGCAAATCGGAACCTCTGCCAAGCGAAATGTCAAGCGAAGTGGCAGCCAGACGGCTCAACATGTTGAGTCGCAGCCGTCAACAGCAGAACCTTACTAATTACCTGTACTAGTTTGGAGGCTCCTCATTATACTTATACAATAATGGGCCCCTAAACCCCATTCTTATTTTGGCACCAATATTTCAGGGGCTAGACTCCGAATGCAACATCCTTTGCCCAGAAGCTCTCGGCTCTACAAACCCACAACGGTTTCAGGTTCAGGTTTAGGGAACCGAAGAGGCGTGAAAGCGCAGTTCTTGTTGTGGGCCGTGTTATCATCACTACTATGAGTTATGCATCTTAAACGGAACCCAGACCTAAACCAGGTACTTCGAGAGGAATCCGAAGTGTGGCCTAAATACTTGTTAAGACAACACAGACCCTAAACCGTAGCATTCGGTGGGCCAAAGCTCTTTGAGCCGTTATCACAGCTATCACATCTCAGTTAGCAGTATATCGACACGAGTTCCTGCATGAGCGTCATCCTAACTTGGAGGGGCAGGGGACTTAGTAAGTAAGTTGTAAGTAGAGTTATAAGTACCCTAAATGGAGTTACCCCAATTATAAGCCTACTTATAGTCGGCTTACTAAGTCCCCTGCCCCTCCAAGAAGCGTCCTCTGACTAGTTCCGACCCCAATGCCAAGGACGAATCGGCTAGCATGGACTTCTGCGGCATCGCTGTGGTGGTGCCCCAGTCCCAACTCTGGCATGTGAATGTGGGGGTCTAAATAATTACCTTTGCTATTTTGGGGGTTGTTTGGTTATAGTTGTTATAAGTTTTGAATTATATAGAATCTACTTCAAAACCCTTATTTAATTACAAACGACTAGCGCAGCCGGCTTGGCTGAGGATTGCTCAATGCCCCGCGTGCGCGGAGGCTTCCCCATCTCTTTGACAACGCTCACCAACTACCCGTATAGTAAAAGCCAGAAAGTTGGAATATGATTATCCTAAACCCTTTATGGTACATTATAGGGTATCCTACCATGAAACCATATATTCCAACTTTCTGGAGTTCCCTGTAACTGCCCCAAAGCTCAGCCCTCAAGCTGAAAACTACAAAGTCCAGGGCTTTGGGCCTATAGGGTTTAGGGATTGAAAATTAGGGTTTAGGGTTTAATTAGGGTTTAGAGATTAAAATTAGGGTTTAGGGTTTAGGGTTTAATTAGGGTTTAGGGATGGGAAAGCAGAGGGGCTTCCTCAAAAGTATTGGAAGCCTCATAAGTTCTGAGCACGTACTTACTTTGACCTAAACCCCACGCTGGGACCTTCGCGCAACCGTCCGAACCTCAAAGTCACATCTGCAGCCCCAGGCGACAAATCCCACCTGTAGCTAAAACGACATCGCTGGCATGTTAGGACGTTCCCCCCTATGTTCTTTTAAGTGCAATTCCTTAAAGGCGGGGGGAATTGGGCTACAGCCTCCAACCCCTGAAGCGCTAAACCAAAACTCTGAAGCCCAGAAAGCCCAAAGCCCAGACTCGAAACCCGAAATTCTAAAGCCCAGACACCGCCAAACTCAGGCTCTCAAGCCCAACGAGTCATAGGACCCGTAGATAGGTTAGGGGGGCGGGGGGGGGGGGGTAGGGGACTATACATCCGTAAATAAAATATAAGCTAATATAAGCCTTATCAGGTTCTTATTCTGGGCATTAAGGCCCCTATCCCTCCTCCCCCTCCCCCCGAAAGGGTCCCTACGAACAGATTCGAAAGCCCAGGTGCTCATGTTCAGCTTCGCTGTGGCCGGATTCCTCGTCTGGATCAACAACGAGCGGCTGGGCCGTAAGGGTTTAGGTTAGAAGGGGCCCCCACCCTGCAATAGTGAGGAATACAATAGGGCCCTAATATAATCCTTATAGTCACTATTACAGGGTGGAGGCCCCTTCTAAGGGTTTAGGGTTTAGGGCTTAGGGTTTTTCGGAAGCCCTAAAGAGGTCTCGGGTCTGGGTCCGTGTTTCGGCTTCGGGGTGCACCGTGCGGATTGGCGGTTTAAGATGTTGATTGGGTTTCACGGGCATATAACAATGTATATGTAACATATGTATACATTTGTACATTATACATATGTATGTACATGCGCATGTGTTATGTGTATGAACATGTATGTGTGCATGTGTGTATGTGTGTATGTATGTATGTATGTATGTATGTATGTATACATATGTATATATATATATATATATAGTAAACATATATGTATATACTCATATATACATATAGAAGACGCCGTGTTTCGTTTATCGGGTTTAGGGTGTCTTGGAGGGATAACCCTCCCTGGCACAAGGTATCGCAACGTAATTAAACTCCGCTCACGTTCCAATTTCTTGGGATTGTGCGTCCCCTTTCTGGGGTCCTTGCAGTCCATAAACGTGGAAGAAAAAAAACGCCATAAAGCTCACACACACACACAGTATTGATCCGCCTCTTAGGGTTCACATCAGTTTCCTGTTTGCTCAAACTCCCAGGTGGGGTCAAAGATGGACTTCACTTGAATAAAAAAGATCTTTGGTGTTCGCAGTAAGGCTTCCGACAAAATGTAGTGGAGTGTTGTTGCAAGCTTGGGCACTGGTTGTTTGGGTCTCGGCAGTATGTAGATGCATCGCCCTCACCTTGATCTGTATCTCTTTCGAACCCTCGGGTGCTGCAGCACTTCCAACAGACCTTGCGCCCCAAGCTCCGAACCCGAATCCCCAACAGCCCTGTGTCCTAAGACCCTGTATGCTACATCAGTAGTGAAAGTGAGCGAGGATTGATCATGGCACGTTTGGGCTCTTCCTCCTCATCTTCCTTCTGAACCTCTTCCTGATTGGCATTATGAACTTCGCCTTTACAGCTCCCTGGTTCGCATGCAGTTCAAACGGGGAGTCGGGTATTCGCTATGACGTATTGTAGGCTTCGCTACGAGGAAACACTTGACCCTACGTCTGGCGTCTTGAGCTGGAACTCAGATCCTCAATACCCAACCTTTAAACTTTTCGGGTTCTCCTCGCTTAGTAGGAATCGGAAAGTTAAGCCTTTCATTTCTGTGGCTTGTCTTACCTTTGGTTTGTAGGGAACGGAACCTACACACTGGCTCTTTCGCTCCGCGGCTGTTACTGGAGTCATTTCCTAGCCAGCTACCGGCAGTGCCCAGCACCCTCAAATAGGGAGATGCTTCCTTCAGGGTTTAGGGGTTTAGGGTTTAGGGTTTTCAGCATATGCGTGTGTATATATGAACGTGGGTAGTTCTCTAAATCAGGGTCGGCTTTGTAAGGATGGGACCCAAATTCAGAGAACTACTCATTGCCGCCTACTCACTACTGGCACGAGACGGACAAGAGGATGCCCATCAACCTCGAAAGCCACGGAATCCTACACCCAAAACATTGCTTTCACAACCCATTACTCTAAACCCTAAACCCGCTCTCGAGAAGGCCTTGAACCCTAAACCCAAAAGCCCTACAACCCCAAACCCCTAAACCCCTAAACCCCCGACGTGGGCTGTCAGACTGATTCGCACCCAAAGTCCGCCACCCTAGCTCCACAAAAAAGCCCCCGAGGGTCCAAAGGCCGGGTTTTAGGATAGTAGTTATGTACGTTAGGATTTTAGTGGGTCTAGGACCTAGAGTAGGCCCTTATTCCCTTTTTTAGGGTTCAGGTTCCCGTATGGGCCCCTATAAAACCAAAAAGGGCACCCTTTTTATTCCTAGGTTACTCTTGGGTCTAGGGGTATATTATTAGGCACTTGGACCCTTAGAGAAACCTTCAAGAAGGCCCTGAACCAAAAAACCCCTCAACTCCGCTTAAAGAACGCCTTCAAGAAGGCAAAAAACCGAAACTCTAAACTCCAAACCCTAAACCCTAGACTCTCAACCCTAAACCCTGAACCCTGAAACCCTAAACTCTAAATCCGAAGCAGCTGCGTGGAGCTGCCCCCTGGAAAAAGGAGCCAAACCGAAGCAGGCTTGCATCCAGCAGAACCTGCTCTTGGAGCGGGATGCCCGGGTCCTCGTCGATGCCACGCTGAGCACGCTGATGAAGCCCGGTACCGACTCTGAGGCTATCGGGTTTTGGGGTTTTGGGGTTTTGGGGTTTAGGGGTTTAGGGTTGAGAGGGTTTATGGTTCAAGGGTTAGGGTTTAGGGTTGAGGATTTAAAGTTTAGCGTTTAGGGGTAAGGGCTTAGGGTTTAAAATTTAGGTTTTAGGGTTGAGGGTTTGGGGTTCAGGATTTAAAGTTTAGGGTTAAGGGTTTAGGATGAAGAAGGGTGAAGGGTTGAGGGGGCAGGGTGTAGGGCCAGTGTGGGTTTAGGGATAACGAAGAATAGGGTCTTACGGATGTTCAGGGGTCTTTTTGGGGCATTGTTGTATTTATTGGGGTTTGCCACTATGTTCTCTGTCATATAGGGTTTTATTTTTTGATAGGAAGAAAGTTTTGGGGCATATTCTAGTCTAATGATGTGGGGACTGTGAGGTGACTTAGTCTGAAACGTATCGACATCAGGCCACTTCTCCATGAGGCCGGAACTTTAGATGCGGGCTCTTGATTAGCATGTAGTACCGTAGACATGAAGGTCTAAATAGTTGCTAGCACTATTCTTTAGGGCCTTTGAACAGAAGGATACTGCTCTGAACCTTGAACCTTCAACCTTGGGTACTGCCCCCCCACTCAGTAACAGTTGGATAATCTTTCTAATATAGATATGTGAGGCCCTTAAAGCCCTATTATAGACTGTTACCGTATGGGGGCAGTACCCAACTTCAACCCATCTGGGAGTTTCCGAAAATAGGGGGTACCCTATTTTGGGGTCGCTATCACAAGGATCCTACTATTCAGGGTACCATATTAGGGTCCCCTATTTTCGGAAACTCCCATGTCGATGCCCGAGCTCTTAAGCCCTCGAATCCGGCTGTGCTAGTGACATGGAGAGGCGACCGACACTCCCTACTTGATGGTACATGGGCAGTTATAAGTAGGGTTGTAGGTAGGGTGACTATAGTCATAACTTAGGGGACTTATAACCCCACTTATAGCTACCCATGAACCTCCAAGTAGTTGAACTAAGGTCCATGTAGGATGTCTTGCTGTATGGATTGCTATGACTGTTGTTGTTATTACCATAAATGTCCTTCTGGTTGTTGTTATGACGGTTTCGGAGCTTATGAGGGTTTAGCAACTCTAAGTTAAAGGGTTTAGGAATCAGGGTTTAGCGTTTTTCGGCCCTTTCTCAGCAAAAAGGTGGACCCACAGCACTTGCTGGTCCGGCTGCCCCAACCCCTACATTCCTATATCCCCATTCCCCTGGAGGCCGTCAAGAAGAAAGACGAGGCCATGCTGACGTTAGCGGTTCGTAAAGCTGCTTTGCAGTATGAGGGTCGATATTGTTTACCAGCTCAATTCCACCCAGTTTCTTAAACGAAGTATAGTATGTTACACCCCAAACCCCGTCACAATCGTCAAGTCCTTATCTTTGGCGGGAGTATGATCTTCCATGTGCAAGTTTATGGGCTTAGGGCCTTGGGCCTAGGCTTTAGTGTTTCAGGATCCGAGATCCCTCAACAGCAACGTGTTATTGAAGCACAAGCCATCGTGGATGTCGTCGTCGTCGTCGCTTTCGCCGAGTCGTTCATTGTTCTATTGTCTTCCTCGTCAGCATCCCCGCATCTTCGCCCGGCTCCTTTTTCTTCGGGCTGCTGGATGTAGCTATACTATGGCATGCCCCGGAAATCTTATTCTTGAAGCCCAACATAAAAGCCTTGTGAAGTGCCTGCCAGGTCGCGTCGCTACACCAGGCCATTCAGAGAAAGCTCCATGCCTTCTTGGTCCTGTTGATGATATAAATCCTGCATTACCCATACAGTTCCCATAGTTTAGGATCATTAAGGTAATGGAGGATTTATATCATCAATCGTAGCACCTCATCCCCCCTAAGAACCCAATTGCACCCGAACCAAACCCCAGACCCTAAACCCTACGCTCTACACCCCAGGCTAGACAACCTGAGCTCGACACCCTAAGCTCGAAACCCTAACCCTGAACCCTAAACCCCCCGAACCCTAAATGCGAGCTCTAAAACCGCTAGCGGCTGCCGCGTTGCAAACCACCGTGTCTGTGCTTGGCAGGGTTTAACCCTAAACCCTAAACCCTTTAGGGTGGAGGGTTCAGGAGTTCTTGAGCTTCGGGGCTTCGGATTTTTGGGTTTCAGGGTCCAGCGCTTGGGGACGGGGGAAAAGGGGGGGGGCGCGTGAAGCGGTAGTTGAGGGCTTAGGCTAGAGAGTTCTTCCCTACATGAGAAACCTTACAAGCGCCGAACCTTAAGACCCAAAGCCCTAAGCCCTAAACCCTAAAGCCCTAAAGCCCTAAAGCCCTAAAACCCTAAAGCCCTGAACCCTAAAACCCTACAGCCCTAAAACCCTGAAGCCCTGAACCCTAAAGCCCTAAATGCCCTACATGTCGTCTCTGAGCCGAGGATTGAGCTGTACGACGATAAACAGCGACTATTTGGGATCGAGGTGGGAACTGTCGTAGTGGGTTCAGGGTTCAATGCAAGGGGCTTAAGCTTTAGGGTTTAGGCTTTAGGGCTTAAGGGTTTATGGCTTAGGGTTTAGGGCTTAAGGGTTTTGGGCTTAAGGGTTTAGGGCTTAAGGGTTTTGGGCTTAAGGGTTCAGGGCTGAAGGTTTAGGGCCTGAGGGTTTAAGGACTTCCTAGGGTTTATAAGGATATTACAGCCCTACCCACAGCCCCTAAATCTTGTACTATTAAACCCTAAAGCCACAAGCCAGTACGTACAGTAGGGACCTCAAGGGATCGGAGTATGGCATATTCAGGGTTCAGGGTTTACGGTTGAAGGTCACGAAAGCTAGCTCTGTGGAGCTCGCGGGAGTTGCCCTTTAGCAATTCACTTGTATTAAGGCACTAGGGAAAAAACAGGGTTTGCACCTTATCAGGTGGGACGTCCAAGAGTTAAGGTGGGGGGTAGGGGGGGGGCCCCCCCGCTTCACCTTGTCATTATGCGTTTTCCACTGATAAGGTCCCCTCCCCCCCCTCCTTTAAGGTGGTTGTGCCTGGGATAAGGTGGGGGGGGGGGGCCCCCCCCCATCATGAGGTCCCCCCTCCCCCCCCCCCTCCTCAAGGTCCCTTGGTTTTGTTTGTGTCTGACGTTCGGCGACTGAAGTGCGGTCTTCTCTCCAGAGTTACCTCTAGTTGTCGTTCGCACATTACTTTCTCAAGAGTTAAATGAACGAGCAACGCCTGCACCCTTCACCGGCCCAAACTTTCCCTCCGCTACTGTCGTGCACATCGCTTTGCAGAGCTCAGCACCGGACCTCGTGCTTCTAGCTTTCGTGACCAGCTCTCAAGTTTAGAGTTTAGGGTTCAGGTTTGATGGTTTAGGGTTGAGGATTTAGGGGAGTATGGTATACTCAAAGCTGGTCATAACTACGGTGAGGGTAGCTCCCCAGTAACATCGAAGCACCGTGCGAGAAACTGATGAAGGGAAGATGCCAAAGGAGTTACCAAGTGGGGGTTCACGGTTTAGAGGTCTACTTTTGGGGCCTCAATAATTACCAATACTATTTTAGGGGGTTCCTTATTATGATTATAGTATACTGTATAATGGGCCCCAAAACCCTATTTACGGTCTATTGTAGGAACCTGATTGAGAAACCTTGGGCTTTATTCGGGTTCCTTTATGAAGCCTACTATTTTGGGGGGTTATAGGGCCGGGGTTTCCTAATCAGGTTCCTGCGTTAGGGTTTAGGACCTGTAAAGTGCCGTGATTGGCGCCTGGAGCCTGTTGGATTGTCTTTGTCCGACATCTGACATCGGGGTAACTTCTCATATAGGTAGGTGTCAACATTGCGGTCCCTTTTTCGATACCCTAAAATATTAGGTCCCGTAGTATATGAGGGACCCAAAAAAGGGACCACAACTTTGACAACCACCCATATGTACCTCTGGGCTTCTTGAACTTCAGCCCAGACACTGATGAAACCTAAGACCCGCCCCACGGCCCGAACTCAAACCGTAGAAGCTCTAAGCTCTAAGCCAGAGACCCGAAGCAAAAGGCCCCAAACCCTAAACCCTAACCCGAAAACCCTCAACCCTAAACCCTAAACACTAAACCCCTAAACCCTAAACCCCTAAACCCCTAAACCCCTAAACCCTCAGCCCTAAAGGTCACCGCCAACTTGCGCAACTCTCTCCTGCTTTATGCCGTCTCCACGGCCAGTGCGGCCGTGTGGAAGTTCATTGCTGACCTTAGGGGCGACGTCCATGATGTCTGAATCCCTGGGTTTGAAGCTTAGGGTTTAGGGTTGATGTCTGAATCCCTGGGTTTGAAGCTTAGGTTTAGGGTTGATGTCTGAATCCCTGGGTTTGAAGCTTAGGTTTAGGGTTGATGTCTGAATCCCTGGGTTTGAAGCTTAGGGTTTAGGGTTGATGTCTGAATCCCTGGGTTTGAAGCTTAGGGTTTGGGGTTGATGTCTGAATCCCTGGGTTTGAAGCTTAGGGTTTGGGGTTGATGTCTGAATCCCTGGGTTTGAAGCTTAGGTTTAGGGTTGATGTCTGAATCCCTGGATTTGAAGCTTAGGGTTGAGGGTTGATGTCTGAATCCCTGGGTTTGAAGCTGAAGGTTTAGGGTTGATGTCTGAATCCCTGGGTTTGAAGCTTAGGGTTTGGGGTTCAGGGGTTAGGGTTTAGGGTTCAGGGTTGATGTCTGAAACCCTGGGTTTGAAGCTTAGGGTTAGGCGTTTAGGGTGTCGAAGCCCTGGGTGAGCAGGGTTTCTTTGAAAGGGGTCGATCAGTTGAAGTTTTGGGTTCAGTGTTTGGGGATATGAAGCCTGGGGTTGATAGTTAGGGACCCAAAAAGCACATAAACATAAGCATTTTATGGGGATATCCCTACCTTATTGGGCTTCGTTATAAGGGGGTTTATATGGGATAGGGTTTTGAAACCCAGGGTTAGGAACTTGAAGGTTTGGGGGTTTGTCCTTTATGCAGACGCTGTCTAGCCACGATGTGGTGGACCTGGTTTCTTGGTTATGGCTTATAAGGTTTGGGGCTTGTTTCTGGCTTGACGTGGCTTTGAAGTCATCCTAAACCCTGTAGCAAGACCCAAACCCTAAGCTTACATCCTAAAATAAACCCTAAATCCTAAACCCTACACACATATATAGAGCCCTCAAACCTCTTTCGTACACGTAAGGTCAAGGAATCTTTGAACAGATTTCGTTTGTAAGGACATGCAAGTAATTGGCAGACACAGGTTATTCACGCCTTCCCTAAGTCTACAGAACACGTTGTAGACGATGCCATAAGCGCATTGTGTGCTACAAATCAGCAAAGCAACGCTAAGGCCCCAGAAGCACTCAGAGCAGCCCCAGCAATGTCGTTCATCCAAAAGATGAAATTTTCGCCAGGGCGTTCCAGGTCTGGCAGGCCTCGCATGAAGGTGGTGTGCATCCAGGAGACCAACGATGATGCGGAGGCGGAAGCCGAGTCTTTCCAGATCACATGAATTGTCAGAGCAAGGGGCCCGTGCAAAGGAAACGGTGGACTTCAAAAAGCTTCTACGGCTCGCTGACCTCAGGCTCTTCATAGGGGCTCTGGAGCCTGCAAAGAACGATGTAGATCAACTGGTTGAAAGTTTTGCGCCAAGCTGCCGCCACAGTGACTTTCTCAGATTGGTTTGACGGCGCAGTGCTTCGAGCGCCTTGTGAGCTTGAAGCAGTACAGGGTGAACACAAGGCTTTCAAACAAGTCAACTCTTTTGTGCGGACGCAGGCCCTCGAACATGTGCCTCTTACGAGATTGAGAATGGCAACGTGTGTGTCAGCGCAGCTCCGAAGGTTAAGTCTGCAGTGCGCTTCCAAGGCATAGCCCAGAGCGTGAACAACCTTGGTGACGCGCTGTGCGCTTATTTTGTGGGCGCGTTTGGTGTTCTGGCCCGCCACGACAGCTTCCATAAGCTTCTCGCAGAATCCCATGCTGACATGGCAGCTTTTGAGCGGTTGTACAATCCGCGGGGTGTCTATTTGCCAAGAGGAAGAGACGAGGGTCGTTGCTTTAGCAGACAGCATTCGCCCCACATCGCAACCAGCTGCTCTTGGTCTTGGACCCCTTTCCAATGTGTTGCAGTCTGGTGCCATCGCAGAGCAACAGCTACACGCATGGGTGCGGCAGCTGGCAGCACAGACAGGCGGGATTCCGCACTTTGCCGCCATGCAATGTGCAACCCGAATGGCGGAAAAGGCTGCAGAGCAGTTTGTGTTCTGCGAAACCGGCGTGGTATCCACTTCGGATTGCTATGACCGAAATCTGGATTGTTCATTCATGAGCCTAGGGGTACTTCTCAGCAGGGGTACTTCTCAGCCACTACCGAAGATTTAAGAAGATTGTTGAATTATTTGGAAGATTGTTGAAGAAAAACGAATTATTTGGAAGATTGTTGAAGAAAAACGAATTATTTGGAAGATTATTGAAGAAAAACAAATTATTTGGAAGATTGTGGCAGAAATGCGAATTATGTGAGGGTTTCAATTTGAGGCTTAAACACGGTTTAGGGTTTAGGGCTCATGGTTTAGGCTTCCTGGCACGGCTCGAGGACCTGCCAAAATGGAACACCGAGGTTTAGGGTTTAAAGATTCTAGGTCTAGTATTGGTCAGCTTCGGGGCCCACAAAGTTTAGGGTGCCAACTTCCGAGGTTCAGGGTTTAAAGGTTTAGGGTTTAGGGCTTACGGTTGTTCGGGTCTAAAGGTGTAGGGTTTAGGGTTTAGGGTTTGGGTGAAAACACCCACTTTGTGGGAGTACTAGAGTTGAAAACAAATATGAGTAATCGAGTAGTGAAGTAATAGAGTAATAGAATAATAGAGTAGTAGACTAATAGAGTACTAGAGTATTTGAGTAATAGAGTAATAGAGTAATAGAATAATAGAATAATAGAGTAATGGAGTAACAGAGTAATAGACTATGTGTGTGGAAAATTGAAACCCTTTGCTATGTTCGCGAAGCGAGGAAATTTTTTTGTTTTTTATGCAAAATTCATGCAAATGCTTTTGGTGCGAGTGTCTGGAGCAAGCCTTGTAGTGTGTGTGGAGTACTAGAGTTGAAAACAAATATGGATGTTCGCGAAGCGAGGAAATTTTTTTGTTTTTTTATGCAAAATTCATGCAAATGCTTTTGGTGCGAGTGTCTGGAGCAAGCCTTGTAGTGTGTGTGGAGTACTAGAGTTGAAAACAAATATGGATGTTCGCGAAGCGAGGAAATTTTTTGTTTTTTTATGCAAAATTCATGCAAATGCTTTTGGTGCGAGTGTCTGGGGCAAGCCTTGTAGTGTGTGTGGAGTACTAGAGTCGAAACCAAATATGGATGTTCGCGAAGCGAAGAAATTTTTTTTTTTTTATGCAAAATTCATGCAAATGCTTTTGATGCGAGTGTCTGGAGCAAGCCTTGTAGTGTGTGTGGAGTACTAGAGTTGAAAACAAATATGGATGTTCGCGAAGCGAGGAAATTTTTTTGTTTTTTATGCAAAATTCATGCAAATGCTTTTGGTGCGAGTGTCTGGAGCAAGCCTTGTAGTGTGTGTGGAGTACCAGAGTTGAAAACAAATATGGATGTTCGCGAAGCGAAGAAATTTTTTGTTTTTATATGCAAAATTCATGCAAATGCTTTTGGTGTGAGTGTCTGGAGCAAGCCTTGTAATTAGTGTGTGTGGAGTACTAGAGTTGAAAACAAATATGGATGTTCGCGAAGCGAAGAAATTTTTTGTTTTTTATGCCAAAATTCATGCAAATGCTTTTGGCGCGAGTGTCTGGAGCAAGCCTTGTAGTGTGTGTGGAGTACTAGAGTTGAAAACAAATATGGATGTTCGCGAAGCGAGGAAATTTTTTGTTTTTTTATGCAAAATTCATGCAAATGCTTTTGGTGCGAGTGTCTGGAGCAAGCCTTGTAGTGTGTGTGGAGTACTAGAGTTGAAAACAAATATGGATGTTCGCGAAGCGAGGAAATTTTTTTGTTTTTTTATGCAAAATTCATGCAAATGCTTTTGGTGCGAGTGTCTGGAGCAAGCCTTGTAGTGTGTGTGGAGTACTAGAGTTGAAAACAAATATGGATGTTCGCGAAGCGAGGAAATTTTTTTTGTTTTTTTATGCAAAATTCATGCAAATGCTTTTGGTGCGAGTGTCTGGAGCAAGCCTTGTAGTCTTCCCTGTTCTACGTAAGACTGCTGCATGCTTTCTAAATTCTTCTAAATTCTTCTAGATTCGTCGGAATTCTGCAATTTTCTTCCAAAATCTTCCGGTTTCTGCCTGTCTGTCAAGACATGCCTGGTTCCCAACACCATTTTTTTTATTTGTACACACACACGGTATCCCCCATTTCTTCGTTTTTCTACCTTTTCTACCTTTTTCTACCTTTTTCTACCTTTTTCTACCTTTTTCTACCTTTTTCTACCTTTTTCTACCTTTTTCTACTTTTTTCTACCTTTTTCTACCTTTTTCTACCTTTTTCTACCTTTTTCTACCTTTTTCTACCTTTTTCTACCTTTTTCTACCTTTTTCTACCTTTTATTCGGTTGAGGTTTGTTTTTTTTTTTCTTTTGTTCCCCTTTCTACCGGCATGCTTGGGGGAAGGAAATGCTGCCCGATTTTCAGCCCCTCCCCCCCCCCTCCCCTAGGCCATACGTTTTGGGCTAGGGTTAAGGGCCTTAGGTTTAGGGCCTAGGGTTTGGGGCCTTAGGTTTAGGGCCTGGGGTTTGGGGCCTTAGGTTTAGTGCCTAGGGTTTAGGGCCTTGCGTTTAGGGCCTTGGGTTTAGGGCCTAGGGTTTAGGGCCTAGGGTTTGGGGCCTTAGGTTTAGGGCCTAGGGTTTAGGGCCTTAGGTTTAGGGCCTAGGGTTTGGGGCCTTAGGTTTAGGGCCTAGGGTTTGGGGCCTTAGGTTTAGTGCCTGGGGTTTAGGGCCTTGCGTTTAGGGCCTAGGGTTTAGGGCCTAGGGTTTAGAATGGCGTGCGTCGGCGGCGCCGGAGGCGCCGGAGGTGGCCCCGGCGGTGGGTTTGGCGGTGGCCCCGGCGGTGGCCCCGGCGGACCACCCCGGCCAGTCGGCTGGGGCTTCTATTCGTCCGGAAAGTGCGGCTGACACGCTTGATTTACACTACGTCACTAGTCGTAACTTATTCATGAGACCTTCTCCATGCCAGGAATTGTTTGGCGGGGGAGAAGAGAGCCTCTCGACGCAGCAAAGAAAGGGACGATGAGGCAGGGTTCCTTTGATGCATCCGAGCCCGTATCAAG